TGTTTGCGGCCTACGCCACTTATTTATCGGGTGAGACTGTTTTGGTGATGTATTAACTTCACGGGAGGTAGACGACCGTCCTTCACACGGACGAAAGAGGGAGTGCTCAAAGAGCGGCTCCCACAGCAAGGAGGGGCCCCGTGAATCATCGCGGTGCCCCCTATCAAACGGTTATCTTACCAGTCTGCGTGACACAAAATCATCCAGCACATGTATCCAACAGCAATGTTCGCAGACTCACGAACACCATTGCCAGTGTATTTCAACACCTCCCAGTGTACTTCCAACACCTTCAGCGCGGTGTGTTGCGTGCTTAGCTGACGGTCTACAATTGATTGCTCTGGGAGTTAGATTTAGCTTTATCGGTAGTCTAGTCTATGTAGCTCCGGAAGAGAGGTTCAAAATATCCTATGACTTTGGGGACAAATACCTTGTCAAGCACGGTCATCTGTTGTCGGAGCGCGACCGAACCGGTGTGCCGAATGCTGTAAGTACACCCGTAGCCAATCGGCTACCCCTGCAGGGATNATCATCCCCCTTGCGCGGAGTGAGGGTTCACCCCGCACAACATGATCTTGGGGGGGGTGGTTTTTCGACACGGTTTCATTTTCTCTGTTTTCCTACGGTTACAGTGACTCCCGCAGCACCGGATACATGCTTGATACGCAAACAGGAAACATGAAGGATGACAAACTACACGCCAGAGTATAGACCGAGGAACAGCCGGCGCTTGTATCAAATCCATGACACACCGATCCATCTGTCCGAAGATTCTCCCTCAGTCAACGCATCTCGAGCCTCCGTACACAAAACAGCGAAGAGTACCTAGTGATACAATGCCCTCTCCGTTTCGTATATGTATGACGCGCACAACACTACTCTATTCGAGGGCTACGCGAGACATGCATCAAAGGTATACAGGAAAAGCAAAATGCATAATCCGACACTCACTCCGGGACGTGACGCCATAAGAAACGACGTGGACTTTTGACGACGNAACAGCGAAGAGTACCTAGTGATACAATGCCCTCTCCGTTTCGTATATGAATGACGCGCACAACACTACTCTATTCGAGAGCTACGCGAGGCATGCATGAAAGGAATACAGGAAAAGCAAAAAGCATGATCCGACACGCACTCCGTGACGTGACGCCATAAGAAACGACGTGGACTTTTGACGACGCATTCAACGACCCCCATTGGAGAGAAGCAAAAACATAAAAGACAAAGACCGCAAACGCTGTGTGTGGGACGCGCCAAGCGCCACACCAACAGCATATTTTACTCGACCAAAGGTATCATCACATCATCATGATCACCAAGGTACAAACTGATGTCATCTAACAAGACTACTGCAGACATGTACCCGCCCCAGAGATTCACTTAGGTTTCAAGAACAAGCCCCCCCCCGAAGCGGGCGAAGGCTCCCGGCGTCGGTCACAGACAGACGCGAAAAAAGACCCCGCCACCAACCGCCTTCTTCACTAAAATGCAGAAGTAGATCACACAGAAAAAAAAAAAAAAAACGCTGCCGTGTTGACCAACCAGGCGACAGCGCAACAGCCTACATCCTGAGCAACATGCATCATTCACCATCACCACGAACGTCGCGCAGGTCTCCATGCGCGACGTGATACGCCGCCGGTGTATAAAAGAAATGTAGCTCCGACGCATCCAAAATAATCATACAAAAAGAGTGCAGAGGTGAGGTCGGGTGTCCAGGATGACGCCATCCCGCGCTACAGGGCGTGGATATCTTAACTGCATCAACCCCCTGGGGGACATGAGACAATCCAGCAGTGAAGCTTTGCGAGAGCCAACACATTCACTCCGCGCAAAGCAATACCAGCAGCAACTTCGAGGTTAAGGTCTCCCCCCTTCGAAACCTACTCCAAAACTTGTCAGGCATACTTGTGTGGAGACAAAAGCTGCCGACGCCCTTCGACCGCCCCGACGATGTTGTCGTGGAGGCGAGCCACCTCGAGGATTACCTCAACATGTCGCCCTGAACTTAGGGCGACATGTCGTTGAGGTATTCCTCGAGGTCGCTCGCCTCCACGATAACATCGTCGGGGCGGTCGAAGGGCGTCTCGCAAACCAGTATCTCCTCGTCGCCCTCGTTCGAGACCTCGGGGCCAGAGAGGTCGGTCTTGCCGCCTGCGTTCGTTTGTCGAACGGAAAAGACAAGCGAACGCGATAACGCATTGATCAGAAGACGTCAAGATTAATTCGAGGATGACGGTCTCTTTGAGGGCAGGGCTTTGAAATTGACGGATCGGGGGGGTTCCTACCCTACATTTTGTATCGATCTAGTCTGAACGCCGAATGAGCTGTATTTAGGATATGACAAACAAAATACGGCCGGGTGGGAAAAGCTTGCCTGCGAACGGCGCGATGTACGCGATGATGCGTTTGTTAGTGAACTCCTCGTTGCGCACGTTGAGAATGGGTTCCGCGAAGCGAAACGTTCCGGTGGCGAAGGAAAAAGGCTTGTACCACAGGCTATGCGACGGACAGCAAGAACACAAATCGAAAGATGTGACAAAATTCATTCGCAGAGTGTCATGGCGTGGTGGTTTGACGAGGAAGATTTCGAAAATTTATTGGGGTGTACTGACGCGCACGCAACACAGCAGTACAAAAAAACGTGGTAGCAATGACACTAATGATCTGTGTGCCTTTTCCAGTATGCGCCCACCAGAATACAGGTGAAATAAGGCACCCCACCGGCACTCTACGAGCCTGCAGGCGCAAAGTTACGGTGTGTAACAATATTTGACTGCCCTAACGTCGTGGGAACGACGCAACGTTCCAAAAGGCAGACCCGTCTCTGTTCGTTGACTCGAAAAAATCATTACCGATCAACACTCACGAGTTCTGAAACTCCCACGCCTTCTTCGTCTTGAAACCGCCATTCTGGCGGTGAGAGAACGCCTGCACCTGGCGCTCGGCGTAGCACTGTCGGGACTCAAGGTCCCCAGCCTCCCTAAGCTGAATGTGCTCCGCGTCGCAGAGCATCATCAGCAGCAGGGGCAGGGTTACCTGTTCACGCTCGAGGGGGCTGAAGGGGTGGAAGCATGCAGATGATGTA